CTGCAGGCACACTCATTAATCAGAAATATACTGCATCCTTGAAATCAATGCTAGATCTCTAACAGAAGGATAAAAAAACACAACTATTCAACACAGCAGACACACAGCTTGCTTGTCTGTAAAATAAACATCCTAATATCATGGTAAAATGTGAAAAGTGGAGCTTAAAGCAAAACTGAGAATCAATATGCCCTCTAAAACACCAATCTCACATACTGCTGGGAGAAGTGAGAAGCAGAATTAACACTACATGTGCTGCTTTAATTACATTATGCAGATGCAGTGAAAACATGTCATTTAAGAAGTTAATAAACAGACCCCATTTTGCAGGTTATCCAAATGCTTCCTCATTGAAAACCCCCTGATTCCAAGCTGATGTGTAATTAAAATTATTTCAAAAATCCTCCTTGACAGTCCGGGACTTAGCCAAAATGTAAATGACATTAAAGGAGACAATGAATTTAATTTTGTTTAATGTCCCTTTTTGCAGATCCTCATTTACATAGCATTTTTAACAAAAGCGCTGACCTTATAAATGCTGGCATTTGTACAGCTTCCACTGAGTCGGATTTAATCATGCTTTTGCAAAGCCATAAGGGAAAACGTTTTAAGTTTTCTGGTTGGCTACGGAGCAGAAACAAAAACATGGGCTATGGTCAAATGTTTATTCTTTCCGCTTCTGATAACAACCTGACAAGAAGATGTGAAGGTCTAGGGAATAACCCCATAGCTGTTTGTTAGGTCTGGTAATAATCATACATAATCGTTTGGAAATATACCTAATAAAAAAATATAATGAATGCTAAGCAAAATCAGCATTAGGCACAAATTACATGATATTAATACTTGAACAGGTGCAGAGAGGCCTTTTAAATGAGCTAAATGAATAAAACGTCCCAGAGCACAACTGTGTGTACTGACAAAAAAGTCAATCACATGAATTATTCAGCGAGTGGGTTGCCTGCAAAGGTCAGTTTTCTTTGACCTTTGTGACAGGAAGTGAAAGGAAGCTCCGCTGACTAGGAAAAGCCCAATCAGTCTTCAGACACTTCACTATTATTACTCTCAAGATGTAAACTACAGGTGTAAATGGATTTAAGCCCTCTTATGTCAGAGCACTCCAGGTTTATTGTTAAGCCATCTATATTTTGTGTGATCTTAGTTTTTCCACACACAAGGGAGAGTCTAAGTGATTGAATGAAACAATGGATTTTTTCTCCAACAAAAAATATGAATAATCTATAGGAGTCTGAGGTCAGTTCTAAAATATTTAAAGATCCATCGGGGTTGAAATTCTGTAACAGCTGTTAAATCTGACAAACTTTTTTTTTCGAAAATCTAAAGCTATAACAAACTCCAAGAGAAAATGGGATAAACAGATGTCTGGCTTCACTACAGGAAAATAGGACACATTTGGAATGATAAGTCTCCTAAACTCCGTTGAAAATGCCAGATCCGTGAGGATGCCAGTTACTGCCCAACAAGATGCCAACTAGCAGTATGACTGCCCCCCATACCATCTGGGAAAATGTTGCTGAGAATGCTATCGATAATGGATCGCAAGTCTGTTTAACATGCCCCAGTACCACTACCACCACTCTCAATAGTAAGCTGCAGTTAAATGTTTTGATTGTAACGTAATCAGACCTCCCTTGTCTGCCTCAACAATCAGTCTTTTCAGTTTTTAACAGTTGGACACCGAGCCCATGTACATTCAACCCACATAAGGAAGGGATAGTCAAAAGGATGTACCTTACCAGGAATTTCCGTAGCCAGCTATAAAACACAATCTGAGAGTACCTCTGATTTTATTTCTTTTGTTTTCTGTCCTTTTTATTCTCTTTAGTCTTCCTTTTTTTCTCACACAAATATTCACACAAACACACACACAAACATAAATGTGTATATATAAACACTTATGTATATACATGTACGTGTATATATATATACTATGTTTCCTCAATACTGTTTAACCTGTTTAAAATCTGTAATGTAATCATTTATAGCCTCTGGAATGTTATGGGTGCAAAAGAATAAAATTATCTGCTCATAGTTGTGATGTGTAGACAATGGGAGTTCCTAATGAGGAACATCTGCTTTTGTGATTTCACAGAACAAATCATTCTGCTATGAAAATGATACTCCCATCCTATTCAGCAAAGTCACAATGAAAATGTGGTCTTTTTTCTCTGCTTACTACAATATCCCTTTGCTTCTTATCCTAGGCTTTAATTTTCAGCCTCCACTGTACTCCTTTTCCTATTTTACTTATATTACACATATTGCTATACAGATTGAAGTACAATGCAGTAGGATATTCTATACTGAGAAGTCTATTTAGTGACAATATAAACCAAAACAATTTATAAGAAGAACAAATGTGTTAAATATCAATGACACTTGATGTTTTAAAGTGTTTACCTTATATTACTGTGCATTGTCGTTGGAAACATATCAAAGGCCTCAGAAAAAAAAGCAAGTTTCATATGTCACTAGACCTTTCACAGAAAAGGGGTACATAGCTTATGTTTTGGATTTAAAAATCACTCTTTATTTAATATGTTAACACAATGACTGACAACTTCTTTGATTTAGTGAAGACTGTCTTGACTTGTGCTGGAACAAATGTGTGGCCATAGATCTCAATTCATGATTGAATTATTGGTTCATATCCTCGGGACAAATATTCCTTATCGGTTAGTAACCCTCCTAAATGTCTCTGTGGGCTAGAAGCTATTGGAGGATAGTTTCTGTCGTCCCTTTCAATGCCAACAACCCAGTTCATACTGCTTATGGGAAAATAATGATACCACTTAAGCCAGAAAAAAATCAATTTTAAAATATAAATGTTTTAAGAAGTAGAAAACACACAGCAAAACATATTAATGCAATAAATTACTGGACACTACTACAGCACTAACAACAGAGAAAAAACAGAACACCAGCAACATGAGCTACACAAATAATAATACTGTTCTGAAATTCTAAAAACCTCACACATGGTTTATAACTGGAAAATGATCATTAACCTTGGATCCAGATATAGAAAGAAAGCATAAAATGCTCAAATAAATTTTCGAGTAATTACTTCTCCACAAATTAAAATAATGAGTCAAAAATTAAATAATGCATGTCTATGTATTATATATAAGCAAATACATTTGTATTCTTATATATAATACATATACTGTATGTGTAATATTTAAATTTCATACATAGGCAAATATATATATATACGTCTGTGTTTAAAGACACACACATATATATATAAACACTATATGTAAGGTTGTAGATTTGTCCAATACAACAATGTAAGAGGTATCAAGCAATTATTTTTGTATCCAATTCTTTCAAACAAAGCTTTTGCCTAATCTTGTATTTCAAGTGTAAAGAAGATTAAAATTTCTTCCAAAACTGTCATATATTTAAATATAGAAACATGCAGCAGATTTTTCATCAATAATTAACACATTTTAAGCATTTATGCTTGGCACAAATGGAACCACCATTTTCCTTCCTCAAATAAACATGATAAAACCATTAACAAAATGTTTCGTGGTTTTTTCTTTGTTTACATCATTCTGGATTGTATAGTACACAACTGTCCTCTTTGGTAAGGCATATAAACAAATATATTTCGATGTGTCACATTTTCGTGTTTACACAAAACTAAAATTTGTATAAAACCTTTTAAAATTATCATTAAAAAGGTTAAAAATAACAATGATGTTTATTAAAGAATGCTAAAAGAAATAAACAGAAAAGGCTCCTCTCCTAATGTTTACTCTTTCATACTTCGTTCCTCAAAATGCGAGTCCTATTTTTTGATGGCAGACA